TATGCTTGATTAGTGATGGAGAAGGGTTGGTTAGCCATAGAGGAAGTATTAGTTTATTCTTTTGCTTTGTTAATGTAAGTAAAATCCAAAAGCAAAGGGGATTTCAATGTACTAGTTTATGAATGTTGCTTGAAGAAGGTTATACTTCTAAAACAATTAATTACCATGCACATTCCAGAATGTGGGTGGTGTGTCGCAAGAAAAGCGTAGTGTGTTGGTCCATTAATATCACTAAGTCTTGGTTATATTAGTACGGGGGGTATTGTTGACCATATATTTTATATTAGCCAATCACAGCCTAACACAAGGTCCATCAGGGGTAGTTTGGAGAATTAGGAAGGATTTCCAATCATCGAAGGACATGTGGCAAGTTATATCAATAAATTAGGAAGGATTTCCAATCATCGAAGGACATGTGGCAAGTTATATCAATAGTAATGGATCTGTGAAGTACTAGAACAATCGAAAGGAGAAAGGTGACGTGGCCAAATAGTTCTTGGAGGTTTAAATTCAAATTTAGGAGGGAAGTGCAACTGCAAGAAGTGACATAGTGAAGGCAAACATCTTGGAGCCATGTTTGATGTTCATGGAGGTTACTTCAGCAGTTACCTGCCACTTCGACAGTTACCAGCCACTTTGACAGTTGTCACCAGAGAATATAAATAGAGGAGAAAGCTGATAGTTAGAGGACGTAGAACCAGATCCAAAAACCAATCTATTTTACATTAGATTTTTCTAGTTATTCACTTTCCAGTCCTTTACTTTTCCACACTGCATTTCAATTTCTTAGGACTAGTTTTAAGTTAGTCTGTTCATTGTTGTAATCTCCTTCGAAGCTATGGAAGTGCGAATGCACAATTGTAAACACTTATTTACTTAATGAAATTTAGTTTTCTGACACTGTTCTCTCCCTCATTCTTGTACTATTGTGATTAGTTCTTCTAAGTTTTCTCTTAAAAACAAGCCACAAGTAAAAGTCTTCTCCATTGAGGCTAAAAGAACTTCGAAACAATTGTTTGATTAATTGGTTGGCATTTGTTATTTATGTAAGGACTTATTGATCCTTGCTAGCATGCTCAAATTACATTTTTAACCTTCGAAAGCCAAAAAAGCCAATACCTTCACAAGTGGTAACGGAAGAGGTTGTGTCGGACATCTATCGTGACAATCTGGAACAGATGAACCCTTCTGTTGGTGGATTAGTGAACTTGAGGTCATTCTAGCCTTGCTTCGACTCTTCGTTTCGCATTTTGACTTCTTCGATCTCTTCTTCAACTTCCATGGTATGATCTTCAGACATCTTCAAACACAGACTGTGAATGACCAATGTCTGTGTTCATATATATATATATATATATATTATATACATTTGTATATAAATTGTGATCACTACTTCCACTCAAGTAAGTTGATTTTGATTATGTTGTTGTAGATCTAGTCGATGAAGAAGGAAGTTAAAGACGATGATGGAAGATCTGTAGAGATGCAGATCTGATTAAAGTTCATTGAACAAATCTGATATGATCTCTGATGATTTGCCATTATGTTCAATGCTTTTGTTGTTGTTGTTGTTGTTGTTGTTGTTGTTGAACAAATAAGCATATTCGTTTATCTCACTCTCTTCACTTTTTATTTTATTTTACGTTTTGTAGTTATGCTTCCTTATTGATGATTGATTTTTGTTATTGTTGTTGTTGTTGTTGATGATAAATGCTATTGATGATGAAGCAGATCTGTAATGGCTCTAATCTGAACAGATATGTAATAACATTCAGATCTGTTCAAAATTTGAATAGATAGCTTTGTATTTCAACCAAAAAAAAAAGAAAAAAAGAAAAGAAGTTTGGTTGAACAGAAAAAATTTGTATTTAAGTTGAATAAATAATCTTCATCACACTACTCTTATTTGCACAGAAAAAAGTTAAAATATTTACATTCAAAGAATTTCAATAGATAGAAAAACTGGATAAATATTTATTTTTTTTGTGTGAGTGTGTGCGTTTGAGGATGAATATTTTCAATTGATAATGGATAATATTTTGTCCATTATTGCAACAAATAGGTTCAAAAATTGAACATATAAAATTTAAACAAATTTGAATAGATAAAAAAATTAAATATATGTTTAATTTTTGTTTCAACAGATATAAAAATTTGAATAGATATTTGAACAGATAAGTAAAAAAAATGAACAGGTAAGTAAAAAAATGAACAGGTAGGAAAAAAAATTGCATAGATAGATATAAATTTGAACATATAGAAAAAATTAAACAGATAGAAAATAATTTGAGCAGATAGATATAAATTTGAATAAATAGTCAATGAAAAGTCAACAGATAAAAAAAAGTCAACAAATAAATTAAAGAGCAAAATTGGAAACAAAGTGTCATCTAAAACCAATAAAAAGAGTTTTTATCAAATTATTTCATAAATGATGGATCTCTCATTAATAAAAAATATTTACCAGGGCCTCGTTTGGGAACAAGCTTTTTTTAGTAACTTTTTAACTTTTTGGCTAAAATATGATGTAAAAAAAAAGTAGTATGTTTGTGATGAATTTTTAATTTTTTTAAGAAAATGAAATCTTTGAATTTTTGGTATAGATTATTGACTTTTTAATTTTTTTAGTGACTTTTTACTTTTAAGCTAAAAAGTGATATTACCAAACGAGGCCTAGACCTAATGCCTCATACCTTTCTTTTCAACAATTTTCTCTTTATAATTTAGGGTAAATTAAAAATACACTCCCTGAGATTTGCTTAAAGTACGAATTCTCCCTTGTGGTTTGAAAAATTATAAATACTTCTTTATCAGAATTTTTTATTTAACGGAATTAACTGAAAAATAAAATTTCTAACTATTCTCTTATATAATAATAAAATTATCTGAATTATTAATTGAAATAAAATTTTAATATCATTAAAAATTATAATTAACTTCATGATTTATTAATAAAATGATTTATTTATTATAAAATTAGAAATCTTAAGAGGCATATTGTAATTTCTAAAATTATAAAAAAATAATTTGTAAATTAAATATATCTCAAAAGATGTATTTATAATTTACGCCTAATAAAAAAAATTTATTCATTTTAAAATAATTTTGAACTATTGTCACTATATGTTTATATTTATTTTTTTTTACTCATTTTAAAATAATTTTAAACTATTGTCACTATATGTTTATATTTATTTATTTTTACTCATTTTAAAATAATTTTAAACTATTGTCACTATACGTTGAAGGTACTTCTGGAAGATCCACCACCACCCGTTCTCTCTCAGCCCTTATCCCAACAAGACCGACGCCGAATCAACGAACCAAAAACAGTCACATCACAAAGCCTTCAGAGGCTCGCACCTCTCTCTCTCTCTCCCTCTCTCATTTCTTCGCAATTTCGGAGGTGCGTGGATTGAGGATTGGGTTATAATAGATAAAATAAATTAAAATCTTATTTGGATTAAATTTTTTTTATTTATATAAATATGTTTATTTAAGTCATATTAATTAATATTTTTTTTATTTTTTTATGAAAAGTTAAGGTGTGTACTTCTTTAAAACATTTCAAATCAATTTTAAAATAATCAATAAGATAAATGTTTTATTTGGAAAATTAATTATTTTAATAGGTTATTTTAGTTTATAACTATTTAAGTAGGTTAACATATAACCTAAGGGTGGCGTGACATTGTGGTTAAGGCTTGGGGTTTAAGTCCCAAGGTCACAGGTTCAATTCCCTCCTCTTTGGGCCAATCTCTTAGGCAAAGCACAGTTGATTAGGATGTTGGATCTCAAGTTGTTTAATCAGCACTTTGTGTGAGTTCAATACTCTCCCGTTGTGCGAGTCATGACTGAAGCGGAGGTTGTCTTGGGAGGTCGGGGCAAATTGGGAGGTCGGGGCAAGTTCTCAGGTTATAAGCGGAGGTTGTCTTTGGAGGTCAGGACAATATGTCTTGGGAAGTCGGGACAAGTTCCCAGGTTATAGTCTCCTAACTTAGAACGGCTAACATCAAGTTATAAGCGGAGGTTGTCTTGGGAGGTCGGGGTAAGTTCTGAGGTTATAGTCTTGCGAGTCCTGACTTAAGCGGAGCATGTCTTGAGAGGTTGTCTTGGGAAGTCGGGACAAGTTCCCAAGTTATAGTCTCCTAGCTCGGAACAAGTTCTGAGGTTATAGTCTTGCGAGTCCTGACTTAAGCGGAGCATGTCTTGGGAGGTTGTCTTGGGAAGTCGGGGCAAGTTCCCAAGTTAGTCGGGACAAGTTCTCAGGTTATAGTCTCCTAGCTTAGAACGGCTAACATCAAGTTATAAGCGGAGGTTGTCTTGGGAGGTCGGGGCAAGTTCTGAGGTTATAGTCTTGCGAGTCTTGACTTAAGCGGAGCATGTCTTGAGAGGTTGTCTTGGGAAGTCGGGGCAAGTTCCCAAGTTATAGTCTCCTAACTCGGAACAAGTTCTGAGGTTATAGTCTTGCGAGTCCTGACTTAAGCGGAGCATGTCTTGGGAGGTTGTCTTGGGAAGTCGGGGCAAGTTCCCAAGTTATAGTCTCCTAGCTCGGAACGGCTAACAGGACACTCTGGTGATCTCTGTAAGGAGCGTTGTCTTGGACCTGCGGGAGGATAGAGAGGATTCCTGTAGCACAAAAAAAAAATGGTTAAAATATTTATATCTGAGAAGAACGTTCGATTTTTTTTTTTTTATAATTGAATGTAATATTTGTGAGAGAAAAAGTAAAATAATTATGAATTTGATGTGATATCTTATCGTATTTTATTTTATTTTTTATGAATTTTAGTTAAAATAATCAATTTTTAACTTTCCAAATACTTTTAAAATGTCACATTTAATTTATAATTATTTTACATTCTCTCTTACAATCATCAAATTAATTAAAAAAAATTAAAAAAATAATTAACTTTTTAAACACAATTATTTTAATCAAATTAAAATAAAAAAAATAATCAATTAAAATAATCAATTTCCTAACCGGCCTTCGTTAGAATTGTTGACAATCCGCCCATCATCTCCGCCGTGAGAGCTGTCTCCAACGCCCCTCCTCTCACGTGATTCCGCTTCCAGCACCCACGTGCTTCTCTCTCTCTCTCTCTCTCTACCCATTTTGTCAAATCCTCTGCTCACCCTTCACACTTCCAGATCGACCCCCTCTCTCTCTCTCTCTACACACACACACAAACAAAGGTATGAATCAAAGCTCAATGCGGATCGCCATTGCCATCTTCTATTACAGAGGTATGTATACCTACGAGTGTATTGGGTTAAAATCTGATTGAGCCTTTCAAAATTCCCACTGATTGATGAATTAAAAGGGTTGGTTTGTTATACGCAATTCATTATGTATGTATATATGTATGTTCATTGATTTAAAATGGAAGCTTCTAGTGGAATTAGTCCTAGAAATCCCAACAAGCATGATGTTGATGATGACCCATATCAAAATGTTCACACTGAATCACTCGACCATAGCATTCGATCTGATCATCAGTTTCATTCCACCAGTGCATTGGAAATTCTAAGAGAAACTGTTCGAATTCTTCGATACAATTTGATTGGATTCATGGGTATTGCAGCTTTCCTTGTATGTCCTGTATCAACTGTTCTTTTATCCAATGTGTTAGTTGATCAATCCATTGTCAAGAGACTCACTATAAGGCTTTTGTTAGTGGCCAAGTCCAGTGGACTTCCTCTTAGGCCTTTTATCAAACAATCTTGCCAAAAGTTTTCAGAGATGGTCATTTCATCAACAATGTGCTTCCCTTTGTATATCACATTGTCTCTCTTGTCGAAAGCCGCGATCGTTTACTCGGTGGATTGTACTTATTCAAGAAAGAAATTTGATGTGTCCAAGTTCTATGTAATTGTTACTAAGATTTGGAGGCGTCTCGTTTCGACATATTTGTGGGTGTGTATGGTGATTACTGGTTGCCTTACACTGTTTCTTGTTCTTCTGGTTGCTGTGAGCAGCTTATTTTCGATAATTGGGTTTGGTTCTGATTTAATTGTTTATCTCGCGATGATAGCAGGGCTTGTGTTCTCAGTCATTTTCGCAAATGCTATCATAATTTGTAACATTGCTATTGTAATCTCTGTATTGGAGGATGTTTCAGGCCCTCTGGCATTGTTGAGGTCTAGTGTACTGATTAGGGGTCAGACTCAGGTGGGTCTTTTGATATTTCTTGGATCAACAATTGGTATGGCGTTTGTGGAGGGTTTGTTTGAGCATAGAGTGAAGACGCTGAGCTATGGAGATGGGTCTTCGAGGGTATGGGAAGGACCCCTTTTGGTGCTTATGTATTCGTTTGTGGTGCTTATCGATTCCATGATGAGTGCAGTTTTCTACTTTAGTTGTAGATTTAATAGCATGGAAGCTTTAAATGGAGAATGTCAATCAGTTTTAGAAGCCATGACCCTTTCCCCTGGATCTATAGGTTTTGAATGACACTTGTTATATGATACGAAAAGATTTTTTCCAAGTAAATGACAAAAATATGGGTGCCACAATGGGAATTTCAAGACTTTCTTGCCAATCTTGCATTCTTGGGCCGCCGATGAGGAAGGATGTCTTGGTGAACTATCCCATTCAAGCAGGCAGACAACCTTATGCGTCTCATTAAAGTTTTAGTGATAAACAAATGTAGGAGCTGCAAAGGGTGACATTTGAAGGCATGGTAACTCCAACATTGTTGGACTAGTTATATTTCTTGTTTTCATTGATAGTTAATACAATTTCTTGAAGTTATTCGACCCTTGTTTCACCTGTTACACCTTATGATATAGCATTCAATAATATTTTTCACACATTTGGCTTCCACTGCTTCAGAAACTACTGTCTCGGGAATAATTCAGAGTAGAAAAACTTTGAATATGAGTTTGATATTTTGTATCAAAAAAGGGAATCATATATTGTTACTTTAGGTGTTTCACACTCATTTTTCTAATTCTAAAAATTGTCCATACAATGTAGCAGTGCTATTTTTTGCATCTTCTGTAATGGGAGCGGTCAATCATTTAGGACTTGCTCTTGTAGTGATATTTGTTTATTTTAGGACTTGAGTTGCTCTAAATTCTGGATCTGGACTTCTTTGTGCCTAAAATGAGTCCAATTTATGAGATGTACTGATTTGAAGGGAAGATATCAAACTAGTATGTTTAAAAGTCACTAGGAGAAGATAATACCTGGGTACAGTACGAAGAAGGTTTGATCAGTTAAGATGTCTAGTTTTGGATGATACTCTCTCAAATATGGAATCACCCGTTGACATATTTTATTTTATTTTGCAACCATTTCGGAAAAAGAAAAAGAAAAAGAAAAAGAAAAGAAGAAGATATAGCTTGCATTACTAGGATCCTGCCATGTTAAAACTATGGATGGTAAATTCTCACTGCAGTGTCCTGTTGAAAGATTTGTTACACAGTTGCACTTGACACTAAAGGATTTGTATAAATATCGGAAATTAATGAGAGATGTGTTAAGTTTAGTGTATTGGTCAACAAACCATGGCTTGATTTGGATTGTGTATGTATTTTTTACTTGAATTTTATATGTATCTAACTATAGTTTGTGAAGATGGAACCGTAGGAAATGAGTAAATGCTTTGATTATAGGTTGCCTTTTAACTCCATTTTAAGAATTTGGAACTCAGAATTTAGACTGGACAAGGTGTGTGAAGGTCAGCCAGTACATATGTTATACATTGAAATTCAGAAGTTCAAGCTCTACCGAATGAAAGAAGAAATATTGCCTTTAATCATCTAAGTCTCTCTCTCTCTCTCTCTCTCTCTCTCTCCCCACCACGAAGGGCGCAATTTTCTACATTTGTTGAAGATTTTATTATAGGGGGAAGCCATGAATGGAGCATGGCAATGAGTTGTAGAAGCCAATTCTAACAATTTTGAATACAAGGTAGCCGCTATTTATAATGCAACGGCTCGATAAAGGGATTCTCGATGGGAAACTGCTCTTACAGTAACTTGGTTAGTCTGCCAGTTGAATTGTTACCAATTCTGGACTCTTTTTCATGATTAAATTTAGTATTTTTGAATACTATGCTTGAGGTTCTAGCTGATGAACTGGTTCCATAATCTTAATTGCTGTGAAGAAGTAGGTGTTTAGAGCTGGTTTGTGTTGATGTCACTAGCAAAAGATATAACCACGAGTCCACAGACTAGGAAGATTCAGCAAGATATAACCATGAGTCCACAGACTAGGAAGATTCATCAAGACTGTGGCCACCTTAAATGGCAGCAGAAAGCATGGTTTATGGCTTAGGAAATTTTTTAAGGCCCTATTTGGACCTCGAATTTTGAATTTGTTAAAAAAAAAAGCTTCTACTTTATTTTTCTTGATTTTATTTTATAAACCCAAAGTTCAAACGCAACCGAAATATGAAATTGTAAACAGAGGTTTAAATCAAATCAAGGTACAACTTTATAACTAAGTTTAGTTTGACTTAGAGCTCAAGGTATGAGTTTGCAACTTTAGTATGAAATTGTAAACAGGGGTTTGAAAATTTATTTTAAAGCTCATACTAAATTTCTTATTAGTAAACATAAAGGTTTGAGTTTCACATGTATTTGTCAATGTGGATCTTATTGTCTCTGTGTAGTGGTAAAAATAAATAAATAAATAAAATGTAGCGAGAAACTCATTTACTATAGCATCATTCATTTTATATTTCCCAAAATATTGGCTCAATCGAATGTCAAGCTACTCAAGATTGAATGCCCTGAGCCCTAATTTTTGGTTAGCTATGTATGTGAGTGTAAGAGGGGTTAATTTGAGCCCACTAAATTATTTAGGCCCAATAGCCCAAGATTAGTGGGCCCGAATTTATCGCAAGTCCAAGAATCGGTGGGCCCAGATTTATCGCCATCAAACGGATTGAATCGCGGTAAGCCTCGAAAGGGTTCGGGTCCACGAACCTAGAGACTTACTCGGGCCCGGACTCGAAAGGGTATTAAGCAAGCCTAGAGATCCGAGGCACTCGGACTCGTCCATTGATGGTTTATATTACATTTTAAAAGAAGGGGAAAATTTCACAATAGGTTAAAACTTTAAAAATAATTATAAATTAATGATAAAGTTTATCAATATTAAGGGTTAAAATTATAAAGTTCTTTTATATGTAGTATTTTTTTTTCATGATCCCACTTGAGGGTAATTTCTCCTAAAAAAAAATACTAGCAGAAAGTCCAGTGTAATCCCGAGGACGGTGAGTGGAGATAAATTCACTCTTCGGTTAAACTAGCCTATACTCGGGTCGAGGTGGCACGACCCCGGGGGGTCCACGAGACTCGGCAATATTTTTGCGGCAGGACGTCCTCTGGGACTACCCCTGACCCTTTGGGATGATTGAGGATCATTGGTTAGGTGTGGCTAAGAAGAAGGGTTCGCCGAGGGATTGATCTCCTCTTCCGGGTTTTCTCATCCTCGGAGAAGTCACCTCCTCGGACAAGGTGGTTAGAGAGAATATCCCCCGTGTGCCTTGCACATGGGCTCCATCCTACATCATGAGGTGCCTATAAATAGCACCCACCCATAGCTTTACAAGGGATGGATTTTGGAGATTTTTTAACTCTTGGGAAAGAACTAATTTCCCTTCTCCATTATCAACCTTGAGAGTGAAAGTGAGAGATCAATGGGAGAGCCTTGCCATTATTCTATTCTCTAGCCATTTTGCCTTCTTCTTCACCCAATCTCTTATCTCCATCATCTCCTTTGTTGTTGTGTTCCTAAGTTGAGATTATTGAAGAATCTAAGCCTCTCATCATATTCTAGAGAATTCGAAGTTGTTCTTCAAGGATCTTTGAAGATCTTCGAATTTTCCAACTCCTTTCTTGAACCCTCTCCTACAGTGAGTACTAGTTTAATTTAAATTTCTGAATAAACAGGTCATGTTTTACAATTTGCAGATGTGGTAAAAAAATAAGTGATAATGTTAAGATGATAAAATGTTTTTGATCGTATGTAATTTATTATCCGATATGATATATCTACAATCATTAATACATGAGAAATGTTACTAGGAAGTTATGAAATTTTACTGCGAAAGTTAATAAAATCCATTGATGGTTTATATTACATTTTAAAAGAAGGGGAAAATTTCACAATAGGTTAAAACTTTAAAAATAATTATAAATTAATGATAAAGTTTATCAATATTAAGGGTTAAAATTATAAAGTTCTTTTATATGTAGTATTTTTTTTTCATGATCCCACTTGAGGGTAATTTCTCCTAAAAAAAAATACTAGCAGAAAGTCCAGTGTAAGACATGGCTCAAAGTTACACGATAGTGTTAAGACTAAGGCCAAGTTTGGGTAGTTTAAAAAAAGTCAAAAAGTCAAAAAGTTACTCAAAAAGTTAAAAAGTCATTACTATTCACCAAAAGTCAACAATTACGGCTGCACAATTTCCAATTCTAATTTTCCCCTACAAACTAATTTTTACAATTTTTTATTACACATTTTTTCATAAAAAGTCAAAAAGTTACCCCAAACATTCATATTTTCAACCTCAACTTTTTAGTCTAAAAAGACAAAAAGTGCACTTATTTAGTCTTCCCAAGGCCAAGTTTGGCATAAACAAAATAATTCATCTTTTTATCTTTTTTTTATCACATCACTTCTCTACTTTTTTGTATATTTTTTCGTAAAAAGATAAAAAGTACACTTATTTAAGTCATCTCAAACAAATCCAAAAAGTTTTACATCATATTTAAAAGACTAATCTTTTAAAAAAAAATCTTTTGCTATTGTTTTGAAAAGCATGTATTTATATTTAAGGAAGCTAAGTTGCATTTGGTGTTAAAAAAATAAGGATAAAGAACAAAGAAAAGAAAACAGTGACATGATCATTATGCACGGGATAATAAAATATATTATTTATAAATAAGATGTATAATATTTACATTTATTTTTGAAAAAATTACCAAAAAAAATAAAAAATCAGAATTTGATGCTTGTAACAAAATGAACCCTCAGTTTTTAATTGTCAATATAAATTCTAAATTTTTGATATGTTTTTAAAAATGATATTTTAAACATTTTATGAGTTTAGACAAAATGGTTTAGATTAAAAATGAATCAAAAAATTTAAATTTAAATTGACAAAATTAAAAATTCAGATTTTTTTTTGTTAGAAGACTTAACCCTAAATTATTATTATTATTTTTTTTTGTAATTGTCCCTTTATTTTTTTGTTAGTTTGGATCTCATTAAAAAAAAAAATTATAAATTTATGAGTTATATACAAAGTTATGAAAAATTATAAATTTAATGCCACATGATTTATTGATTTTATAAAACTAATAAAATTAGTTAGTTTTCTCTCTCTCTGTATATATTGTTAGCTAATAGGTGCCTCCTGCTAACAAATTAAAAAAAAAAAATCATAATAATTTTTAGCCTCAAAAGTTGCATAGATAAAAAACAAAAATTATTTTAAATAAATAGATAACTATAATTAAAAAAATAATCAATAAAACAAATGTGGACAAAAATGATAACTAAATAATCAAAACAAATTTTAATATATACTTGCACTACAGGAAATATAACTTTTAACGACGTTTATTTAACGGCGTTTTATTAAACGCCACATTTTATAATATTTAACGACGTTTTTTAAACGTCGCTTTTTGTTTAAATCAAAACGGCACCGTTTCATTAACCAAAGGCGTTTAAAAACGCCTTCGAATGTCCTATATCTCTCCCTCGGCGAGCGGGTGAATATCAAATATAATAGCCCTAATCTCTCAGTCTCTCACCCTCTCGTTCACTCTCTCGCTCTCCTTCATCTCTCGCTGTAGCCCTAATCGAAGTTCTGTCTCTCTCGATTTCGATTTCGAAATCTATGTTTGGGTGATTCGTTCTCAATTTCGAAGCTTATTTTGAATCTCAGAATATTTGTTAAAG